CCCATTGACCTTGATCTTGGCTTCTTGCTTAGAGTATACTGCTTTGATTATTTGTAGAAATTTTCCTTCCACTCTCATTTCCTTTAGTTATAACATCATAAACTCCCAGTTGACATTATCGAAGGCTTTCTTTGCATCTAGAAAGATTAACATCATCTGCTTTCCTGGATGTAGTTCATAATATTCTAAAATGTCTATCATTGTCCTTATGTTTGATGACAATTTCCTTTTGGGAAGGAAACGTGTTTGATCTTTGTGTATTATTTCTCCTAATATTTCCTTTAATCTTGAAGCCCAGATGGCTGCGAAGATCTTATAATCAACATTTAGTAGAGAGATTGGTCTGTAATTCTTGATTTTGTTCTTTTCGGTCCCCTCTTTATGTATTAATGAGATGTGTGCCTCTATCCATGTATTTGGTATTACCCCCTTGGACTCAATGACTTTAGTTAACTTCTTAAATTGCGGACTTAAGATTTCTTCAAACGTCTTATAATATTCAGATGGTAATCCATCTGGTCCTGGGGATTTGCCATTTTCCTGTTTTTTCCAAGCCTCTTGAATCTCCTTCATTGTGATTGGTTTGTTTAATTTCTCAAGTTGCTGGGGGTCAAGCTTCCATTTGGAGATTTATTCAAGTATTCCAATTGCTTCTCTTGCTCTACTTCTCTTTTCTTATAAAGGCCAGCATCAACTTTTACTATTTCTTTTTCGATCTCATTTTGTGTATAGATTTCCTTCTCTTGCTTATCCAATATTTCCGCAATTCTTGTTTTTTCTATCTCTCTTTTTATTCTATATGCTAACCATCTTCCTGGCTTATTTGCATTCTCAAAGAAGTTCTGTCTTGCAAATTTTACTTTTTTCTCCATCTCTTCTTGTTCTAACAGATTGATTTTATGCTGTAAAATATTTATCTTATTCAATAAACTCTTTTTAGTTGGTGAATTTTTTAGTTCCGTTTTGTCCCTTTTTAAGGACATTACCAAAGTGTGATATTGTTTGTTCCTCTCCTTTTTTCTTTGTATATCATATTCTATTGCCCAGCCATGAAAAAATGCTTTCGCGGCGTCCCATATCACTGTCATCTCTGTGTCTTGGGGTTTATTTATTTCAAAGAAGAATTTTAATTCCTTTCTAATTTTATTCAAAAAATGTTCTTCTCTCAATAGATGGCTATTCAACTTCCATGAGCCTCTTCTTGACGTTTGTCCTAAGCTCATCCATATTGGATTGTGATCTGCATATGTGTTTGGTAGAATATCAATTTCATTCACTTGATGAGTTCCGCTGAAATCCAACAGTTATCTATTCTTGATCAGGAATTGTGTCAATTGGAATAAAATGTGTAATCTTTTCTTTTTGGATTTCTGGTTCTCCATATGTCGATCTTCTGCCATTTCCAAAAATACTTTGGGTATAATGTTCCTTGTTCTTTTCCTCCCATTTCCATTGCTCGTAGATGTATCCTTTTCTTTGCTCACTACTGCATTAAAGTCACCCATGATGCATATTTTCTGTTCTGCCTTCAGAATTAGTTGATTCTTCAGTTGAAGAAAAAAATTGTGCTGAGATTCGTTTGGTGCATATATATTCACCAGTAGTATCTCTTCTCTGTCATAGGAGATTTCACCATCAGTATTCTCCCATCTTCTGAGGTGAAGACCAATTTTGGCTTTAAATGCTTCTTAATGTATATTGCTACTCATTTCTTCTTCTGTCGATTTGAAGCTATAAAGGTTTCCCCTAGTCTAGGCATTACTAACAATTTTTTATCTTTTTCTTTTATGTGAGTTTCTTGAATAAAAATGATATCCGCCTTTGTTTTAACAAGTTTGTTAAATGTTTTCTTTCTCTTCTGAGGTGAGTTTAGCCCTTTGACATTCACTGAGAGAAACTTAATTTGTTCTGCCATCTGCACATTTCTTACTACCCGTTTTATCTCTCTGTTCCTTGCTTCTAGTTCTCCTTGCTACTGGGGACAACTTTGGCCTCTCTTCTTCTCCTCCTTGTTCTTCTTCTGAGTCTTCGGTCATCCACTGTAATTCCTCTTCAGTCAACTTCAGTTTTTGTTTCATTTCTATTAAGAAACTTCTGGCTTTCATTTTACTGTTCAGGTTGTGTCTTCTGGTCTCCCACGTCAAGTATATTCCTTCTGGTACTTGCCATGAGAAGGGGATTTTCCTGTCGATTAATATTTTGGTGATGAAATGATATTCTTGTCTTTTTTTTCCGCATGCTCCAAGGCACCTGTTTAAAAATATTTTTTTGTTCCTTTTATTGTCAAGTCCTTCTCTCTATTGGCTTTAAGAATCTTTTCTTTTACTGTTCTTCCCATAAATTTTATATGGATTTCCTTTAGCAGTTTGTTTTTCCTCGTATAAGCATTCCCATCGAAAAATATTTTCAATCAAATTTTGTATCTCCTCTTTAGTCATTCCGAATTAATGTTATTAATTCTTGTGGGGTCTTTCCCGGCGTCTCTTCCAGATTCTGAATCCTCAGAAAATAAGAGGCTTTCTCCATCTCTAATGTAAGAAGATGTGACTGCATCTCATCTTTTTCTGTTTTGATGTCCTCTACGTCCTGTTCTGCCTTGTCTAATCTGCGCGCGACCTTCCCTACAGCCTGGTTAAAAGAGACTAACTTTTCATCAACGTTTTTGATCTTTTGGTCTATGCCTTCAATGGATACTCTCACTTCCTGGATCTGATCCGAAAATTGTTTGATGATGTTAGATTGCAAATCTTGCATCGCACTTCTAAAAGGGTCTGGGGTCATTAATTTGGCTGCCCCTGAAGTGGTGTAACCCAGCGAGTCTTCCTTCTTTCTTGATGCCATGTTGTTTCCCTTCCGCTTTAGTTCCCACTTTCTTCTTCTTTTTCCCCCCTTCCTTCTTTCTATTAGGAAAAAACTAGAAAATAGGGAGAAGAACAAAAAAAGAACAACAACAATCTACTTTCTTGTTTCTGGCAAAAGAGCCCTTTCCACCCCTTGAAAACTGTACCACAGCTCAGGAAAAATTATTCAGACATAAAATCAAATACACCCACCACAGTATAATAAACAACTCTGTTGCAGTTTCCCGGCCAGTCACTAGAGGTCTCTAGTTACTCATTAAAAAGTGATGGTTATTCTAGAAGATTTCAGCCTGCTGGAAAAAAGTTCCAATCAGCCACAAGAGGTCCTCAGCGTGATCAAAAAGTCTTAGTTCTTGCAGTATAGCCTCCTTATCAAGCGAAGTGTACAGCAATACCCGAAAACAGAAAGAAGAGCCCAAATCTTCATGTTAAAATGGGTGACTAAAACAGTCAAAACCATTTTAACACCTTTTATAATCCAAATGGTTTTTTTATAATCCAAGTGTGTCCTTCTGTGCGTTTCTTAAATGGCAATCTTGGCTAGTCTGACTGTGTCCGGTAATAAAAATGGAGTCCTCCTATCTGAAGGCTTCTCAGTCCTCTTTTACTTTTGACGCTCTCCAGACGACACTGATATATTATCAGGCCAATTAAACTGTCTCAGGGTGATTCTTTATTGTCACAACTCAGCTTTGTAAAGCAATCACTCTTCATGGGAGTTGATGGTCAGGGCTTGGAAAACTTTAAAAGTCTGTTTACATCAGGCCCCATCCGATTCCCCCACAACTGTCTGCAGGCATTCCAGTCCGCTTCTACAGCACCCAAAGTTTCCTTCCTTTACAATTAAAGTCTCTTATCACTTTTCGTCTGGAGTTCTTTTATTTTCTTAAAAGATCTTCGCTTTTAAGCTTGCTTGCTTGCTCCCCTCCTTTCCTTAATGGGAAGCAGCCTCTGTGGAGATGTAATACAAGTACGGATGTGGTTCCGTGCTTAACTAACCTCACAGTTATGTCTCTCCCATTGGCTATAAACCTTCGGTCGTTTGCTTCCAATTTCAGTAACTCACTTTTTCAAAGTTCTTCAAAGGTCTGATCCCTGTGTCATCCCAGCGGAGGATACAGCTGCAGCAACATCCAAAGATGGCGTCTAAGGAATCCTCTGTCTTTGGAAGAGAAAACTCTAGGGGAGACGTTGCTTTCTGCTCCCCCAGATCTCTCTGAGCTCCATGCGACTAGGGGTGACCTTCTCCGAAGCCACCCACCCCTAATAATAATTATGTGGTTTCTCCCCAGTATGAGTCCTTTGATGTGACCTAAATGTACCACTGCTACTAAAGCTCTTTCCACATTCCATGCATTTATGTGGCTACACCCCAGTGTGAGTTCTTTCGTGTTTCCTAAAGTTACAACAGTGACTAAAGCTCTTTCCACATTCCATTCATTTATGTGGTTTCTCCCCAATGTGAGCACTTTGATGTGTCCCAAGATTAAAACTCAGACTAAAGCTCTTTCCACATTACATGCATTTATGTGGTTTCTCCCCAGTGTGAGTCCTTTGATGTAACCTAAGGGTACCACTGTGCCAAAAGCTCTTTCCACATTCTATACATTTATGTGGTTTCTCCCCAGTGTGAGTCCTTTGATGTAACCTAAGGTGAACATTTTCTCTGAAGCTCTTTCCACATTCCATGCACTTATATGGTTTCTCCCCAGTGTGAGTCCTTTCATGTGACCTAAGATGACCAGTCCGACTAAAGCTCTTTCCACATTCCATGCATTTATGTGGTTTCTCCCCAGTGTGAGTCCTTTGATGTAACCTAAGTGCACCACTGTGAATGAAGCTCTTTCCACATTCCATACATTTATGAGGTTTCTCCCCAGTATGAGTCCTTTGATGACACTTCAGGTCACCACTCTGACTAAAGCTCTTTCCACATTCCATGCATTTATGTGGTTTCTCCCCAGTGTGAGTCCTTTGATGTAACCTAAGTGCACCACTGTGAATGAAGCTCTTTCCACATTCCATACATTTATGAGGTTTCTCCCCAGTATGAGTCCTTTGATGACACTTCAGGTGACAATTTACAGTGAACCTCTTTCCACATTCCATGCATTTATGTGGTTTCTCCCCGGTGTGAGTCCTTTGATGTAACCTAAGGTTACTACTCTGACTAAAGCTCTTTCCACATTCCATGCATTGATGTGGTTTCTCCCCTGTGTGAGTCCTTTGATGTAACCTAAGGGCACCATTGCTACTAAAGCGCTTTCCACATTCTATGCACCTATATGGTTTCTCTCCAATGTGAGTTCTTTCATGTGCCCTCAGGCCACCACTCCGACTAAAGCTCTTTCCACATTCTATGCACCTATATGGTTTCTCTCCAATGTGAGTTCTTTCATGTGCCCTCAGGCCACCACTCCGACTAAAGCTCTTTCCACATTCTATGCACCTATATGGTTTCTCTCCAATGTGAGTTCTTTCATGTGCCCTCAGGCCACCACTCCGACTAAAGCTCTTTCCACATTCTATGCACCTATATGGTTTCTCTCCAATGTGAGTTCTTTCATGTGCCCTCAGGCCACCACTCCGACTAAAGCTCTTTCCACATTCTATGCACCTATATGGTTTCTCTCCAATGTGAGTTCTTTCATGTGCCCTCAGGCCACCACTCCGACTAAAGCTCTTTCCACATTCTATGCACCTATATGGTTTCTCTCCAATGTGAGTTCTTTCATGTGCCCTCAGGCCACCACTCCGACTAAAGCTCTTTCCACATTCTATGCACCTATATGGTTTCTCTCCAATGTGAGTTCTTTCATGTGCCCTCAGGCCACCACTCCGACTAAAGCTCTTTCCACATTCCATGCATTTATGTGGTTTCTTCCCAGTTTGAGTCCTTTGATATAACCTAAGGGTATCACTCCGATTGAAGCTCTTTCCGCATTCCATACATGGATACAGTTCCTTCCCTTTGTGAGTTATACGATGTCTACTGAGATTACATTTGTTTATGTGGTTTCTCCGCTGCGTGAGTTCTTTCATGTGATGTCCACTCCTGCCAACTTGGATTTTCAATTCTCTGTTTTCTTCTTTGGTTATGAGTTCCTGCCCATGTTGCCCCAGATGTTGCTGGGCAATTCTTCTTCTCTTCATCATCTGTTAGATTAGAAAAAGAAGAGAAACAACCACTTCCAAAATTTGCAGAAATAAGGAATGATGTGTTCGGTCTCTGCCTGAGTCATGGAGGAGGAAGGAAAGACAGGCAAGAAGTTGAGAGAAGAGATCAAGGGAGGAGATGAGGCCGGTCCAGAGAGTTTAACTTTGGGCTTTAGGCTGGAAGCTCTCCACTGAGGGACCCTTTGGAGGGAGGTGTAATGAAGGGATGGTCATTTCCACAACCAAAGAGGTCCGTGAAATTCAAAGTATATTGATTTCTTTTCCTTCTCAAATTGCCCCCAATAATTGTAACATTAGTTTCCAGAAAAATAGAAGTTGATTAAAGAGGAAAGTTGATTAAAGAGCAATCAAAGTTGATTAAAGAGGAAACAAACTTTTGAATTAAAGGACTGTTTAGCAAAAATGAATAATAAGGGGGAAAACAGGTCAGTGTTAGAAAGGAAGAGTGAAAGTGGATGAATGTGATGCAGCTAGATTATTGGACTTGAGAAGAAGTAAAGAGCAGTTAGTGGTCAATGGTGGGAATTGACAAAGTATACAGAGATTACAGTGGTGCCTCGCTTCACGAGTGCACCGTTTAACTAAAAATCCGTATAGCGATCCCTTTTTGGGGATCGCTATACGGATCAGCCCCAATCGCCGCACTCACTTTGCGACGATTGGGGCTCCGGCGGTCATTTTGGAGCCGCCGAACAGCTGATCGGCGGCTCCAAAATGGCTGCCGGACGCGAAAGCATCGCTGGAGGGGTAAGTTTGCACACTTATTGGAACGCATTAAACTAAGTTTAATGCGTTCCAATAGGTTTTCCTTACCCGCACAGCGATGTTTTCGTATAGCGAAGGCACCACTGTATTAAGAACATATCAAGAACAACAAAGTGATGATAGTATAGTAATTAGGACTGAGAGCATAATGGGATGGAATTGTTGGTCCACTGGAAGGAGAAGCAAACAAGCAGCCCTTCGTGGGGGACCGCCATATGCAGGTGCTTTTATGCAAATGCCCAAAGCATCTGAGCAAAGATGGGAGAGCTGGAACATTTGGTGGCTAGGGATAACAGTGATATAGTGTCCATAATGGAAACCTGGTGGGATTTGGAGAAACAGTGGGATGATGCAATCCCAGACTATCAATTCTATAGGAGGGATAGGGAGGGGCGTATTGGAGGTGGGGTGGCCATCTAGGTCAAAATGGAGATGGACGGTGGGTCTGAATCCATCATAGAATCACTGTGGGTTGAACTATCAGGCTAAGGAGCAATGAGATAGTGTATCGTGTGTGTGTGCTATCATCCTCCAGACCAAGAACTTGAGGTGGACCTTGAAATGCACAGAGAAATCAGGGAGGTGTCCAAAAGGGACAAGATTGTAATTATGGGGAACACAAATTCTCCTCACATCAACAGGGTCAATGTGTGCTCGAGTCAACAAAGAGTGACTGGGTTTCTTGACTTGCTAAAGGACTGTGCCTTGGAGCAATTTCTCATGGAGCCCAACAGAGGACAGGTAACTCTGGATCTAATATCGTACAGTACTCGGGACCTGGTTAGGGACAGGAATGTGACTGAATCGCTAGGGAATCATGACCATGCGGCCATCTCTTTCTCCTTGCATGTTGGGGGGAGAGTGTCAATCAAATCTGACACCAAAACCCTTGATTTGCAAAGAGTGGACTTCCCTCAGATGAGGAAGTTAGAAAGAAGTTGAAAGAGAAGGTTTTTAAAAAAATCTCCAGAGTAAATGCAGTCTGTTTAAAACAACAGTAGTAGAGGCCCTGTGGTAGTGTATAACACAAAAAAGGGGGGAGGGCTCAACTAAGTTCAAGAAAGTGGCAGAATTGTTAACTACTAAAGTTACAGAGGTGTTAACAGGAAAGAAGGGACCCTTCCATAAATGGAAATTCTTTCCAAATGAGGAAAATTAAAAGGTACACAAACTCTGGCAAAAGAAATATAATAAGATTATACGAAGGGCAAAGAAAAGACCTTGTGGAACATATGGCCAGCAATATAATGGGAAATAATAAAAGCTTCTTTAAATATGTATTCACGAAGGCTTCTTTAAATAGTTTAGAAGCATAAAACTTGCTACAGAAGCAGCTGGCCCTCCCGATGGTGAGAGAGGGAAAGGGGACAGAGATTGCAGAGAAATTAAATGAATTTTTTTGCATTTGTCTCCACAACATATGACTTTGGGCAGATTCCGCCGCCCGAACAGCCCTCCGTGAATAATGAATTAAATCAGATACAAGTTATTCTACTCAAGCCACAGATGTTTATTTCTCCTTCTTTGACTGTTGTATTTTTCCATGTATAAGATGCCGCATGTATCAGATGCCCCCAATTTTTCTAATCCAAAATTACGAAAAATAAGTGGAGCTTAGCAAGTGTAGGGGGAAAGGGATCAAAGTGCTGGAGGATTGCTTTGATCCCTGCTTTTGCCTCTGTTCTCTCATCAGCTTCCGTGTATAAGACGAGCCTCAATTTTTACTCTAAAGATTTTAGACAAAGTATATACACGGAAAAATACGGTAATCGCTTTCAGCAAACAGGTCTTTACATGGCTTCAGAGCAGGTGCACACAGCATCTCCAAATTTTTATTAGGCAAGCCAATTCCTGGAGACTACATGTTCCATGTTTTTATCAGGACTACAAACTCCATCACAATTTGCATTGCTAGAAAGGCAGCAATTTCTTGAAAATTTTAATTGGGCTCGTGTATTCATGAGCCTTAGGACACATGATTTCTAACCCCTGTTTGATGCAGTCCAGGGGCCTCAAATTCCTATAGAATCATCCGTTACTCAAATTCATGAAGGGGTTACACAGTAGCATGGCAACTTCCTCTTGTTTTGACTCTTTGTATCTGCTTATCACACGTACAGTTCAGGCGCTTCTTCCCATGGCCACTGCGATGCCTAAATTGCTTGACTTCTTTAACACTTCTGCTGGGAACATTTACTCTACAATTGCACCCATGTGACAAAGGGAAGCCAGC